TGGGGGGGGGGGTCGAGATGTGATGGAAAGGTAAGTATTTAGAAAATAGGAAATGGAAAAAGATTATTTATGGGCTGGGGTCCAAAAATCGTTCACTAGGACAGACCCTTTAACTGTTTGCTAGTGGCTCACTCAGGATGTTTTTTTCAACAGATAATGATTGTTAAAATAGGTTCATGTTTCATGTGCTTTGCACGTAAACTAAGTTTAGTGGAAACATCAGGATTTATGGTGAGTAAACAAGCTTCTGGTTTGTAAACAAGTTTATGGTTTTTAAACAAGTATCTGGTTTGTAAACAACTATACTGGTTTGTAAAAAAGCTTCTAGTTTGTATTTTTTTTACAAGTTTCTTGTTTGAAGCAAATTTCTAATTAATAAACAAGCTTCTTGTTAGTAAACAAGTTTCTGGTTTGAAAACATGATTCTGGTTTGTAAACAAGCTTCTAGTAAGTGTCTAGTTTGTAAACAAGCTTCTAGTAAGGGTCTAGTATGTAAACAAGCTTCTAGGAAGGGTATAGTTTGTAAACAAGCTTCTAGTATGGGTCTAGTTTGTAAACAAGCTTCTAGTAAGGGTCTAGTTTGTAAACAAGCTTCTAGTAAGGGTCTAGTTTGTAAACGAGCTTTTATTCACAAATACATCCAAACTTTCATTTTATAGAAAATTCGATGTAATATTTTCCAAGAATAATTGTGTATTTTATGTTAAAAACAACAAGATAAACAGGTGAGATGAATCTTTATTTTGAAAACTAACAAAATACGAAATGTTGATATTCCGAAGCATGATAGAATATAATAAAACTAAAAATTCAAGGCTGGTTGGTTTCTTCTTGTTACACTTCACAGTCAACAGTTCATTGTTTCACAGATAGAACACTCCTCTAGAATATGGTATTATTAATGAATGACAATGATAATTTTGATGATAAGCGTTGTTTTTCAACAAAAACCAAGTTGTTTTTCAAGGTTCATGTTTTAGGCTAAAAAATATTAAACTGTGTTAACAAATACAAAAATATTTTTTAAAGAATAGCACAAAACTGTAACAGAAATTTTCTTCAAAATAATTTTAATTCAATTGAATTTTAACGTTGATCCAGACATACTGTCATTTATATTTTTAACAACATAAATTGAATTAAAAAATTACAGAGAAATAGCCATGACAAATGATCCAACGACAGATTGAAAGTCCACTTAAATGTCATCAAAATTCCAAATTCCAAATTTAAAATTTTCATGGCATTTTGAAAAAAAGAATTCTGACATTTACAAGATCAATGTTGTGATCTAAACTCTAGATTATAACTGAGAAAAAAATGATGATAAACTAAAGTTAAAATTTCTTCCGTTACAAAACAAATGATTTCATATAAAAAATGTAAATGATTAAAAAAATCCCAGCGCACAATTAAGTAAATTAATTGCTGTTTTCAGAATAAATTAAAATTTGGATTCGTCCCTTATTTTGTTTTCCTTTATTGTTCTGGTTTTCTTTTAACATTTGATTAAAACCTGGACAAATAATCTTCACCATCCAGAAGATAGATTATAGATTCTAGATTGCAGATTCCAGATAGATTCCGGATTCCAGGTTCTAGATTTTTGATTTCGGATTCCAGATTCCGGATTCCGGTTTCCAGATTCCAGATTCCAGATTCCAGATTGCAGATTGCAGATTGCATATTGCAGATTCTTAATTCCGGATTCTAGATTCTAGATTCCAGATTCCGGATTCCAGATTCCGGATTCTAGATTCCGGATTCTAGATTCTAGATTCTAGATTCCAATTTCCAGACTCCAGATTCCGAATTCCTGATTCCAGATTCTGGATTCCAGATTCCGGATTCTGAATTCCAGATTCCTGATTCCTGATTCTAGATTCTGGATTCTGGATTTTGGATTCTGGATTCCAGATTCCAGATTCTAGATTCCAGATTCTAGACTCCAGATTCTAGACTCCAGATTCTAGATTCTAGATTCTAAATTCAAAATATTTAATTGTAGGTTCTAAATTATAGATTCCAGTATTTAATTTTATAAATTTAAATACTGGATTCTATTTCCTAGATTCTAAATTCTAGTTTCAAGGTGCCAGATTCCAGATTTTTATTTTCAAGAAAATATTATAGTTGCAAAATTTCAAACTTTGGCGGATCCAGATATAAAGATATTCAGAATTCAAAATCAGGAAAAAAGATTTTAGACGTAATTCAGATTTCAGGCATTATTTTAACAATTTTAACACAAACCCAGTATACTTACTCAGTTTTCAATGGTTGTTGTTCTCTAAGCTGAAGAAAATGATTTGTGGGCTCCAAGGAGCTTCCATCAGTTTTATGAAGGTAGGAGCAGTTCCTTCGATGATGACACAGAGAGCTTGAGGAACTGAAACAGAAATAAGGGGTTGTGGCCGTAATTTCAAGTGTCTTTCATTTTAAGAGGGAAAAGCCTGACCCGGAACGGTACCCTTTAAACCTTTATCTGATAAATAATGTGGCAAATATAGTACTTCTTCTAGCTGAAAATTGTTACATTTAGACAACTTCCTCCACGATGTTTCGGAAGCAGAAATGAGCAAGTCATTCTATAAAGAAACCACAATTGAAAATACTCAACTTATAACAAACCTAGTTTTTGTAGCCTAATTTATTTTACATTTTCATTCTCGATTATAAAAGATGAAGATATGGAAATTGCCAACTGGAAAAGTAATTTGATCTCAATTATTTTGAAATCTCAAAATAAAGTGAAATAAATAAAAATAGAAAACTTAATACCTAAAGGCTGCTCCGCAAGGGCTACACACAAAAGGTTTATCTCCTGAAAAAAATTATTATAGAATTCAAAACAAACAACGTTAATGATGTTTAGGCAGGTTTATCTATATCTGTATGTTCATGTGTTTAGGTTGGTTTACCATCAGTGTTAATGTTTAGGTTAGTTTATCTATCTGTGTATTCACATGTTTAGGCTGGTGTACCTTTATGTGTGTTCATGTGTTTAGGCTGGTGTACCTTTATGTGTGTTCATGTGTTTAGGCTGGTGTATCTTTATGTGTGTTTATGTATTTAGGCTGGTGTATTTTATGTGTTTAGGCTGGTGTATCTTTGTGAGTGTTCATGTGTTTAGGCTGGTGTATCTTCATGTGTGTTTATGTGTTTAGGCTGGTGTATCTTTATGTGTGTTCATTTGTTTAGGCTGGTGTACCTTTATGTGTGTTCATGTGTTAAGGCTGGTTTATCTGTATGTGTGTTCATGTGTTTAGGCTGGCGTACCTTTATGTGTGTTCATGTGTTTAGGCTGGTGTATCTGTATGTGTGTTCATGTGTTTGAGCTGGTGTATCTGTATGTGTGTTCATGTGTTTAGGCTGGTTTATCTGTATGTGTGTATACGTATTTATATTGGTTTATCTGTATGTATGTTCATGTTTTTATTTTGGTTTATTTGTATTTGTGTTCATGTGTTTAGGCTGGTTCACCTGTATATGTGTTCATGTGTTTACGATGGTTTATCTGTATGTGTGTTCACGTGTTTAGGTCGGTTTACCCGTATGTGTGTTCATTTTTTAAAGTTGATCTACCTGTATGTTTATTCATGGGTTTATAATGGTTTATCTGTATATGTGTTCATGTGTTAAGGTTGGTTTACCTGTATGTGTGTTCATGTGTTTAGGTTGGTTTACCTGCATGTCTGTTCATGTGTTTAGATTGGTTTACCTGTATGTCTGTTCATGTGTTTAGATTGGTTTATCTGTATGTGTGTTCATGTGTTTAGATTGGTTTACCTGTATGTGTGTTCATGTGTTCTTTGTGTTTCTGGGAAGTATCAAACAGTTTGCCGCACTCCAAACATTTGAGGGCTCGCGACTCGTCATGAATTCTCATGTGAACTTTCAGCGTCTCTAATCTAAGAATATAATAATAAAAGTAATCTTAAAATCTGATTTTGGAGATTAGTCAAATCCCCGATACGCGTTCAACTTTATTAAACCTTCTAAGATTTTTTTTCACAAATTTGAAGGATAAAAAACAATTCCATACATTCCGGCTTAACAGAAATCTATTGAACTATATAAAATCATAACTTTAGTCTAACAGCTGTCTTCCTATTCAACAGTTTTATGGGTCTTACCGTACTGAACATAATACTTTTGCTAGATTAAAACAAGAAATTTCTTTTTCTTTGTTCTGAAATAAAAATGGTCGATATTTTTTGTTAGCTTTTATAACTATATTATAATTTTGGATTGGCGTGACAATATTGGAACACTATATATAATATATATATAGATTGCATATCGTAATCAGAGAGCGTATTATTATGATATTTAACTGGAAAGTATTGCATGAAAAAAGTGTAAAGGAATCCAACCAAACGACATGTTACGCCAACCGTGCTAAACTAGACTGATTTCTAATTTAGTAATTAAGTATTCTAGAAAATAAGATTTGAATATTTTCTTCAAGAGTGTGTTCACGAAAAAGAAAGAATGCACATAGGAAAACTATAAGTTTTAAGGTGTTATTTTTACTTCAATTAAATTTTTGTTGATAAAAATAATATCTGACACTTTTATAGATCTATTGAATAGTGTAAGTTAAACGGTAAAACCCACACTTTCATTTTTAAAGAACGCTTAATTAATTAGATAATTTGAACAATTATTTATAACGCTAATCTTACCGGTTTTATAGATTTACAACAAAATGTTTTAAATTATCACGTTTGCAAGAATATACAGGTTTGAAAATATTAACCATAAAATTTTTCAATATGTGAGAGCGGTATTCGTGAGCTGAAAGTGAAAATTAGATTTAACATTTAAAAGCCTAGTTTTATTTTAAACAACAAAATGATTACAGTTACAATTACAATTACGAAATTCATGGGATGGGCATGAAAAGAGGGTCAGATACAAAGATAAATAAATAAACATAGATAGCTTATGTACGCAAAATCAACCAGAGCCCAAAACTTAAGACAGGGTATTGTTATAAAAACCAGTTTTGAAACCCAGGTTTCAGGAATGGGGTTAGGCAGTTTTGTGGCCGGATATCAATATTTTTGTCATGAAATATTCTTTATTTAGTTACTTCATATTCTCCATTTTAGTCGAATCTCTAATATCAAAATCTACAAAATGTTAAGACCCCAAAAGGAAACGCGGGAGTTTCCTTTAACGATACTCTTTAAATTTCGGGCTCAGAATTGTAACTCACACTTTTCAGGGTCAAAGTGTACTTCAATGACAAGCGGGGTGGATTGGTGTTTTAATGGATTTCATGATTATAATATCACTAAAGATTTCATTTTTGTTCAGCATATTGAGTTGAATATGAATTGCCCAAGATACGACAATTAAATATTCATGTGGAAAATTCACACTAGCAGCTAGATGGGGAGGGGGGGGGTGGGGTCAGAAATTACGGAATAGGATAAGCCCCAAACAAAACTATTATCTTATTTGGAATGAGAATATTTCATAAGAAACCTGATCCTTACCTGGAGAACTGGCTGCCACAAATCAGACAAGGATGCTTTAAACTAGAATGAACAGATTGATGATTGCGCAATTTCTCTCGAGTTCGGAATCTTTTCTCACATTGATCACATTCAAATTTTCTAAAATAAAAAAAATTATGATTTATGTTTTAAATGTTAGTGCACTTAAGTCCCAGAGGCCGAATTTTAAAAATTTTAACCGCACCAAGACGCGGTTCAAATATGAGACACAGATCAAACAAGGTTGGTCCCACTTGAAATTAAAATCTGTGTTTCGATATATGGGACGGCTCTCAATTGGAAACGGTTATTGACGGTTCAGCGACATGGTTCAAAATCTTAAAATTAGGCCACAAATAAATCTAAATATTTATTATCTGGTTCATGGTCTCTCATTGAACGATCACTTTTCAGCATTAAATTTGCAGAAAATGAGGAAAATTGTTGAAATTTTGCTTTAATAGAAAGAATTAGTAAAACTAGTAAGTTCAAAATAGAATAGATACGGAGCATTGAAACCTATTTAAAATATTCTATTTCTTACTTGAAATCCGAATGTGTTTGCTCATGGCCTCGTAGCAAGGATTTAGTACCAAAAGCTTTCCCGCACGTACTGCAGGGGTACTGGGCGGATTGGTGTTTACTTTCAACATGCTCCTAGTTAAAAAAATTTTTATAGCAAAATTATTTAATTAAAAAATCTTTTTTAATATTAAACAAAACATAATTCTGAATTTAAGAAAGTAATCAATCTTGTCAATTGAAAAACATTTTCAAGTTATTTATAATTTAAAGTTCTTATCATAATTTACAAGATCAACCCATAGTTATCTGAATAAAATTTTTAAAAATTAAAATAGTTTTCCTGTCAGCTTGAAAAACAAAGTATTCAGTGAAATGGGTCTAATCATCATTGTACAGTGATGCACTGCACAATCGTTGAGGTTTCTGTTCATTACACTGTTTTAAATCATAACTAGAGTGTAATAATCGTCTTCATATTCCACAGATTTATAAAAATCCCTGTGTTTTAACAAAACCAAAGACAAGTTCAGGCTGGCTTGTCAAAATTGGTCACAAAATATGTTTCGAACTTATTCCTTGTCCTAACTTCTTGTCACCGTTAACAAATGGAAACAAATAATATTGAATATTTGAAAATAATCAAATCATTTTTAATTGTTTTCGCATAAGATGGGCGGGGAAAAAAAATATAGCCACCAAATATATTACATCCAAAATCATAACGGACCAAATAAAACATCCAATAAATACCTAAACCAAAAAATACCCCTTTTCAAAAACATGACACCAAAGTAACACAGTTTCCGGCCGAAAATATAACCAATACCGGCTAAATATATAAACATTTTCCCCAAAAATACACCTTTTGTAAAGATACAATATAACATTTTCACCGAAAATATAACCATTCTTTTGACTAAAAATATAATTATTATTATAGCTTAAAGACAAAGTATAACCAATTTTGGTATGCCGTGACCCTTACAATTTATAATTTTTAATCTGAACTTAGGTTTAGGGAAATTAGTAAGAATGCGGATGAAAAAAAATTACCTTTAGCATTGATTTTGTTCCGTAGGATTTAGGACATTCTTCACACTTAAACCTTTTCTCAATAACATGCTTGGAGTCGTAGTGCTTCTTCATACTCTACTTTATAAACATCATCATTTATAGATTCTTCACGTAAAATATTTATAGAAAATGTTTGAGTTGACCCTGTTCATAAATGAAAAATTTAGCAAGCCCTGAAGGGAAACAGTATACACAGCCAGAAATATTATGCACAGTACACGTTTTAGAGTACACAATTTAAAATTTTGGTTGTTTGTCAGAATTTAGTTTTTGCTTTCCCTTCGCCAGAAATGGAAGACATTATTTATTTGAATTTTTGATTACACAAGTTACTAAACATATTTTAGTCTTCAGTATTATCTGAATATTTCTTTAGCGTTTGTATTGTTTGATATTCAGGGAGGGCGGGTGTCTTGTTCTTTATTTGGGTGCTTAGGACAGGCAGTCAAATTCTTAATACAAAAATTGAGGTTTTTCAAAGCTCATATGTTTATCTACAGAGTTACCCACAAAGAATGAGACTGTGAAGACGACTGAAAACTCTAAAAATATTTCAAGATTAAATTAATTATTCTGCCTTGAATTTAGTCTTTCAATGGCTTATTTGATGATTTGGAAAAGAAAGAAAAAAGTTTACAGTTTCAGGGAATCATGAATACGATGAAAAAGACAGTGTCAATTCCGTGGAGTCGTCTCTGAAGTCTCACCCTTAGGAGATATCCGGAAAATAAGAGCTAGCCAGACTATGTTCTAAATTTTCTAAGTGAGAGAATCAAAATAATTTTATCCGTCCTCCAAAACTCGAAGAGGAAAAAATTATTATTAGAAATAACAGGAATGTATAGAGGGGGATTGGGGGTTTAGTCCGACAGTCCTTTACAGAAAGGGTAGGGGGGGGGGATTAAAAGTATAAAAAGTTAAGAATTTGCATCCTTTTTAGTTATATTTTATTTGATGATAGGTTTCCTGAAATGTAGGAAAATCTTTCCCGCATTCTTGGCAAACATGCTCGTTTCCTTCCATCTACACCATAATACCATTCAAGATGAGAAATCGTTTAAAAATTCACTGTTCTGACAAAAAAGTTTAAAGCATTAAAGAGTCGTTTAGAAAAGTATTCAATTCGAAAAAATTTCTTTACTGTTTCTAAAGCAAAAATCTGCAATCGCTTTTGTAGTGAAAAAAAAATTAATAATAATCAATTCTAAATGAGAAAATTATGAATATCTCATGCATATGTATTCTTCATCTGACAAAGCTTTTAGGCGTTCAGTTGTGAATCAGACATTCCACTCTATAAACGAAGTTACTTATAAAACAATTAAATCTTTACAAAAACTTTAGACTTAGACTTACATAATTCCTAAATACTAATCGAGAAATGGATTAAAAATACCGAGTTTAAATAATTTGTTCTCAAGTTTCAGATTTAGAGTTTTTCACAAAAACATTACCCGTAATTCTCTGTAATAACTTTAAATTATATGAGAGCTATTATAAACATTTTAATTTTGAAAACGGATTTTCAGGAAAAATAAATTTAAAACTAGATTTGTAATTGAAATATTTTGAACAGTTGCCTTGTGAATATAAGCCATATGACTCCGAAGATTTCGCCTAAAAATATGTGACTAAAATACATGACATTAATGATTTTTCAAAACTTGTCGACAGAGTATTCTCATTGAGATGATAAGAAGAAATGACTGATTTAAAAAAAATGTTAACAATTTTTCCAAATAAAAATTGAAACAGACTTAAACATCGTCTTTGATATTTGATTGTTGATAAATGACAAGGGGTGCATAAAAACATCAGGAAATGGAATCTGCAAGAGGCGTGTAAAAGGTCAAAACAGCTTTAAAGAATGTGGTAACATTCTTTATAACTTTAGAATTAACAGATGTAAGGCAGTTTTCATCATCTTAATAAAACAAGACATTCGAATATATATATTTTGCCTATAGCCGGCCAAACGGCTGGACCGATTGGGCTAGTTTTTTTGTGGACACTCATGGGTGACCAGGGGGTGTTAAAGGCTAAAAACATCTTTTTTAACATTTTTTTTCTGAGGGCAATGCCGGGCCCTTCAGCTAGTTATCTATAAAAAACAAGACATTTATATATATATATATATGTTGCGTATAGCCGGCCAAGCGGCTGGACCGATTGGGCTGAATTTTTTTGTGGACACTCATGAGTGGNGGGGGGGGGGGGGTGGTGTCTTAACTAAAAATAAATTGAACATAGTTTTTTTAAAATTATTTTTAAAAATAATACAGTATTACAGTCACCACATAATTTCCTTGTATTTTAGGAATAGGGTTTCGAACGCAAATGTTTCTATTTGCCTGCAATTTTGAGCACTTCTTTTCCATGATAATTGCGCTCAAAACACGCGATCAAATATTTCACAATACCAAGTAATTGTGTGCAATTCCGCCGAAACCCTATTTAATAATCGTACCTGCTTGAAATTAGTTTGTCACAGTCTGGGCACTGTACAGGGGTATGGCAGAGATCTAATTTGAAATTCTTATATTTTCCTCAACAAAGGTTTCCTTCTTTCTTAATATTCTGATCAAATCAAATACAACTTCATTTTTATCTATAAAAAGTTGATTTTTGGCTAGAAAAATATACATTAATTTCCCTATATGATTATCTAAGCTCTCCTTCTTGTCTGAGGAGAAGTTAGTGCAAAATGTGCAAGAAAATTCCTGAAATATAAATTAATGAAGTATAAAATCTACGAGTATAGTATACTTTTGAGAAAAAACTTTTAGCAAAAAACAATTTCTTGAAAAAAATTTCGCAAAACCATAGCTGCAACAGTTAATTGTGCAAAAAATCTTGTGGAATTCTCTGCGCTGAGAGCTTCAAATTAGAAGTTTTATTTAATCATAATTTATAATTTCTCTTCCGTATTTTTGTCGAAAAATTTTCGCCTTTTTATGCATACATTTTTGAATTTGTTATTTTCGCGAAACTGTCGCGTTTTTTGAGAAATTTTCACATTTCTTATTTTGCGAAATTTTTTTTGCGAAACAGACTAATGCGAAATTTTCGCGAAACGATTTTCCCTTTTCGCTAGAAAACCCTCCCTACCGTGACTAGAATTTTCTTTTCTTCCGGATCAATTTAAATCTGTAAAGGCATTACGGAACCTTTCCTGAAGCTGTTAGGTATGAAAACCAAATGAACTAATGGAAATTATTATGGCTCGATTCCATGCCACAGTCGTCACAATTAGCTCTGTGTAGCATCTAGGGGTAGATTTTTTAAAATGGGTTAAGATTTGTTTCGCTTTAATTTCCAGAAGTTTTTAATGGTTTGCCATTCTTATCTGATTCAGAGACCATTACGGAACCAAATGGTTCCGAAAAACAAAATGGAAACCCTCCAACCGTCGTCAGAACGTATCCTTCTCACCTTCTCTTTAATGGGAGATTGTTCTAAAAGTAGTTTAGTTTCTGAACTCAGGTCTAACTCCTTGATCACCAGAAATCATTCTATTTTAAAGTTTTATAAAAAAAATCTTAGGTTACCTCTTCAATACATGAGTAAGTAAACTAAAATGCCAAAACAAGAATTAATTGATTTGACAGGTTCTAATCTGGTTTAGTTATATTACAGGAAAGCTGATCGTGTTTTATTAAAAAATGGAACGGTTAACATTTTCCTAAAAAAGGGTATGATTTTGTGTGTATGAGAGGGGGGGGGGGTAAATAAAATTAAATATATTTCTTTCCTGAATTTTCTTCTTCTGTCGACGTTTGACCTGACCTTTTGTTACCAGGTCACGAATCATTTTTTGTGAGTGCTCGCTGTTAAAATGTGCCTAATTAAAATCATTGATATCAAAAAAACTTTTTTTAATACATCACGGATGCCATTTAGAAACGAAACATTTAAAATACTTTTTGAATTTTAGAGGGAAAGAAATTACATTCTAGTTTGTATTCAAAGTCAAGTCAAGTCAAGTCAAGTCAAGTCAAGTCAAGTCAAGTCAAGTCAAGTCAAGTCAAGTCAAGTCAAGTCAAGTCAAGTCAAGTCAAGTCAAAGTGTAATAGCTTGTTTATAAAAATTACCGTTAATCTGTTGATATTTTCAAACAACATTTCAGGATGAGACAAACACCTGAAAATTTAAATTTTTATAGAAAAGTTTATTTTCTGAGGTCACCTTGCTTCCATTGGGATATTTTATAAAATGAGCAAAAACAAAATAAAACAAATTTTCAAAGATTCTAAAATAGGAATGAATTTTAGATTTGAGGACATGAAACAGTAAAGTTTAGGGCTGTATTTTTATTCAAATATTTTAACATTAATCCCTTTCATAATCAATATTTTTCTCATAACATTCACGAAAAGTGTATGTAAATCATCAATAGATAGTAAATTTATAATTTTACACCACATTTTTTCCATAGCTTTGATAAAAAATGAATTTATAACTTTTTTGCCGTATTTCCACCAAAATAAAAAATCCAAGCCTCCTGAAGTTTTTATAGATTTGACAGGAAAAATACTTCGTAACATTTATATAAACTTAAAATTGAATTTAAACAAATGAAAACCAATGAAAAAAAGAAACATGTTGTCCCCCTACCTGTGCTGTTTTACAAAAACTGAGTTACTGTGGGATTTCTTTTCATGTATCTTCAAATAATGTGAGGTAGTGAACACCTGGAATTAAACAGCTAAACTAAAGTGACATTTTTGCAATGTATAATTTTTGGCAAGCCATTCTTGCCATGCAAAATGATATTTTTCTATGTAAAAAACCTAGTCGGCCCTAGCCGTAGCGCTAGAAGGCCTCTTTTGTACGGAATAGTACCCTGAGGTGTCTCAAAATGCCTAACCCTACCCTAAATAATGTGATGGGGGTTGTTTTCCATATTGACAAAATGTCGTAAAGAAAAATTTTCGTTTTCTAGGTGTAGTGCCGTATTTATGAGCAGATAATCTTAAAATTTTCAAGCTTTACATCATGAGATTGGACAGGACCAGAACACCAGGAATAAGAAACCAAAAAAGGATTTTTTCCCAGAAGGGGTGCGCTCAGCACCCGTTGGAGCCTTAAAATTAACTAGATTTTTAATGATCCAGGGGCCGGGGGGAGGGGGGGGGATGAGCCACCATAGCCCCTCCCTCCTAAGTCCGTCTCCGGAAAACAACAGCAATATGTTAATTTTTTTTTAAAGAAATTCTTAAGCAAAAATAATATCATAACAAGTTCAACAACTACAATTATCTTTCTTTCTTAAACCATTTTAAAATATAAAATATGATAATTTACCTTTTCACAGTCAGGACATGGGAACAGTTTCTCGTACTTTAATCTTTCTCCAGTGTTCTTAAAAGCGAAAAAAAAATTTTATTTAGACTTTTTTGTAATTATGTATCATGCTCAATTATAAATCTTGTCGGTGATAGATGAATCAATGAATAAATAGATATCTTTATGAGCATATGATAGATCAATTTATCAGATGTGAGAGAATGGTTTAAGTGTACATGTGTGCGTTGTACATAATAAAAGTTGACAAAATTAGCGTGGGTAAAGCTTTAAAAGAAGCTCCAAGTACAATTGCTTTTCATACTATTACTATGTGAATTACATCGACATTATTACTCTAAAGAATTCTAACCTCCATGGATAAATTTGAGTTTGAAAATATTTCGTCTTCCTCCATTTCCTCTTTGTCCACTGTAGGTTGGGGTGCACCCATATCATCATTATCCTAAACGTTACAATAATAATTTAATAGACAAGCTTTTACAATTTGTCGTTGTAGTGCTATTTAAAAAGAAAAATTTACATTCGTCTTGAATTTAAAGTATATTTTCTAGAATTTTATATTTTTTCCCCCTTAAATACAGGGTTACCCACAAAGGATGAGACTATAAAGACGACCCCAAACACTAAGAGCTTGATTTTTTATTTCTGACTTCAATTTACTATTTCAATGGTTTACTAAAAAATCAAGCACACCGATAGAAAAGCCAGTTTTGGCAAGCCAGGAAGCCTGAATTTAAGAAATTAGAAATTCAAGGCGCTTCGCGCCTTTCTTTCTAGCCTTAGAGGGCGCTTCGCGCCCATCTTCTAAATTAGTTGTGAACATGTTCTCTTTGTGTACATCGTAAAACAAAACAAAAATAATTCGCGGATTTTCACAAAAAATTTCGCGGATTTTAAAAATTTTTAAAAATTTAATGACGATCGAATTTTGATGGAGACAAATATTTGAAATTTTTATTTTTCATAAACCTTCCCTGGGGTCCCTAGATGTCCCACAAAAAATTTGGGCCCGATCGGTTCAGCCGTTTTGACGTTTATTGGATACAAACAAACAAACAAACAAACACAGACAGACAGACAAACAGACAAGCCAAATTTATATATAGAAGGGACTGAACAAATTCCGTACAATTGCCTCTGAAGCCTCATCCTTTGGGGTTAACCCTGTACAATGTCCATTTTGACATTATTAATTTATCTATTTATCTAAAATATTAATTCTAATGTGAAATCAATATATTAACAATGTCTAAATAAAAAGGTTTTTTACTTTAAAAACTGCGGAATTTTGTCATCAAATACATGTTAAAAGCATACCCTTGTTTCATGATCTTCTGTATATTCAGTCTGATCAGTAGGATAGTCTTCAACTACATTCTCTTCATCCTAGATTATTATTATGTTTTTATTAAATGAATCAACCCCCCCCCCCTTTCTCGGGGACAGTTACAATTTTTAATGGGTTTTATCGCTGAAATAAATGAATAGATGGGGAAAATAAATTGATTTTTAGGAACAAAAACATTTATTTTAAAAAAAGGAATTTCAGATTGATAGAAAGCGCCGACGAATTTTTACACTATCCAATTCAAATACAGCAATTTTGATTTTTCTCGATTGTTATGTAAAGAGTAATTTTTGGGTTTCCAAATAATTACCGTAATCTTGACAAAGTGATGCATTTATTCCATGTTAAGCTAAATTAACCTTTAAAATATTGATAATTTTCATTTTTCCAATTTAGAATTATTTATCTATCTATCGCTGTGCACCTGACTAACTTATACAGTGCCGGGGGGGGGGGGTATCTGACCAAAGGGGGGCTAAAGTTCTTATTTTAATATTCTTACATATTCAGCATCTTGCAGCAGGTGGATACAGGATATCTCCGAATCCTTAAATCCCAGGATAGATCGGAGAAAACTTGAAGAATCATCTAGAAAATTTTAAATAGAACACAACACAATGAAGAAACTGATTACTTGCCTCAAACTCTATTATTTTCATCCTTCATCTTTGCAATCTGATGTCGAAAAGGCCTTTCTTAACGTGCTTGATTAAATCATCAAAAATGGAAATATTAATATATTACAAGCCCACAGGGATAAGAAAACTTTAGTTTGAGGTAAGTCATCTATTTCTAAAAAATAAAAATAATGTAAATAATTTTTTTTCAATTCAAAGACTGTCTTCCCCTCGACCCCGTGGACCCGGCCGGGAAAATACACTTTATTTAACTCATGTACTCTCAAATAATATTATAATTTTGGTAAAGTGATTTATTAATATACTATTTCATACCTAAATATAATTGTTTGATCGCTAGTTGTACCTCCTCTACTGTTCTCTCATCCAGACAAATAATTAGTTCATCACTAAAATTAGAAAATAAATAGGACTGCTCCTAGTATTCAATATTGGTTGTAGGTAATATGTAATTAGTATGTACAATACATTATTTAGAAAATAAATAGGACTGCTCCTAGTATTCAATATTGGTTGTAGGTACACAATACACACTATAGATATGTAATTAGTATGCACAATACATTATTTTACATCGTACACTTTCATAACTGGACATTATGTTTCTTCTTTTATAACTGGACATTATGTTTCTTCTTTTATAACTGGACATTATGTTTCTTCTTTCATAACTGGACATTATGTTTCTTCTTTTATAACTGGACATTATGTTTCTTTTTTTAGGACATACATACACTTACAATATATATAGGCCTGCTCATTAATTAGACATCTAACTTTAATGGTAAGGGTGCAAAGAAGGATTTATAAAAAGTTCATAAGTACGTCGGAAAAATGTTTAAAAAATATTTTTTTTTAATCTTGAAAAATATTAACATATAACTCATGTTATTACATCCCTTAATAGCTTAATTAATAAAAAAGTAATAAGCATTTATGATTTGAAAAACCGTTTTGTTAACAACTTTGATGTTAAAAAAGTGAAGAAATATAAGCGTTCTAATGTGAGCCGTTTTCGAGTTTTTTAGAGAAAAAAACACAACCAAAATAGAGTTAACCAAAAATAGAAAATAAAGTTACTTTATCAAATTTTCCAAAATCTAAGAGAAACAATATTTGTCAACCTTAGTTATTATGATGTGTTAATGATAATTCAATATCCATAAAGCTTGGATTGAATTGGAGGGTTCCGGAGGAGGGGAACAATAAAGTCCGGGAAAAGTTGACCGCTGCGAAACAAGCCAGAAGTCCCAGGACGGGACAACTTGACCGTCGAATATCACATCTTGATCGCGCGATGGTGCAGCAGACATAAACCCGGAGTGGAGTGACCGTAAACCTAAGATTATATCTGAACTGGAGTTCTAGAGTCAGTTTGTTCATCACAACCAAATTGAATAAACCTATAATAATGTCGGGCAAGATCATCCAGGAAGAATCCGAATGTTGCGAGAAAAGAGAAGCAGTACTAATAATGGATGGAGTGTTTATACCTTCAAAGAATGAAGATAAGTGCGAGCTTGAATGTCCTATCTGCTACAACTATTGTGCGCCTCCAAGGTAAATAAATCATTCGTTTTTAAAAAATCCGCCATAACATTATTGTGAAATGGGGCTAAAAGCATCACGAACAAATTTTAAAAATAAATGTTGCCCTTTTGTTAGAATCAACGTATTTGAATTTAAATATTCTACTAGGATTCCAAGATGTGAGAACGGACACCTGATCTGCTATTTATGCAAATGCAAGCTGACCAGCAACCTGTGCCCAGTCTGCAGGGCAGAATTTGTTCCTAACCGTCCTCTAGTTGCTGAAGCGGTTGCAAAGCTGATTCCTTTCTCCTGCAAGAATGCTGCGAGGGGATGTTCTGAACAATTTACATGGAAAACAAAACAAGAACACGAAGACAATTGCTTGTACAGAAGGTAAAATTCTTTAAAAAATTTAAAGAACTATTTCTTTAAGTGACCATCCATGGATGTTTATGTTTATAAAAACAGTGTCCGAATTTAATGAATTTACCCGCGTCTTAAATCCGCCAAAAACCGGTTTCAATTGGGTGCCGGTTTAATCTTGAAACAATGAATACGATTTTCAGTGGAACCAACCATATTTGAGCCGCGGCTCAAATTCCTTAAATTCGGCCTCAAGGCATTTGCAGTTGCGGGGTTCTCTGCAAAAGTGACTTGCGCATTTCTAGCTTTAGAGACAGAAAAACGACGTTACTTTCCAAAATATTCCAAATTAAGGTTCCAATGGTATCGTTGTGAATAGAGGATGGTCACCTAAATTTACAAATACATTTCTTTATATATATAATTCTTCAGTTTTTTTATGAAGTTTTATTGTAAAAATAATTTCTTTTTTAAAGGTATTTTTGCCCTGTGTTGACCTGCCCAGGAGAAGCAGGGTCACTGAACCAACTTAAACATCATGTGAACCAGAAACATTTACTAGGGCCAGGACAAGGAAACCTCTCCTTGTATCAAAATGTGTTTGCAACTTTCAGCACATTCCTAACACCAAAACTTAACATGATGGCGACACATGATTTTAGGTAAAATAAGTTCTTGCAAATTGACAAAAACGTTTAAAAGCTGAACTAGGTCTGTAAATATTTATATTTAGATTTTTCTGGTGGGAGCCCCAGATGTTTATCCACGAGTTTGCTTGTTTCCTCATGGTCTTTAGAGAGGTGGACGGACAGGTAGAGAACAGTTTTTTAAACTCTTTTTGTTGTAGAAAATATTGAAGATTTAAGCTTATGCCGATTAATATTTTAGAACAATGGCACTTACTACTTTTGGCTTTGGATGGCTGCCAATCAATCCGAAGTGGAAAACTTCAGGTAAGAAACATGAAAACCATCATTAAAAAATTATAGATTTTAAACATTTCTTTGTCCAGGTATAGAATCTGTATTGAAGACCCTGCTCCTGGTAACTCCCGGGATCCGAACTATAGGATCGGTAGTTCACCAGCCATAGATAAATCCATCCTTCTGGTCAACTACATGGCTACCCCGGTCAGCCTCCTCATGTCGGCCGAGGATATTCAAGAGCAGAACCTCTGCCTTAAACTCACCGATGATCAAGTTGGGAATCTTCTAACAGCAAATGGTCCTAACTGTGATTCTACTTGTACCAAGGTATACACTTGATTATCATAAGTTTTACCATTAGCTCTACCTGTAATATCTAATGTTATGCTTTAACGTTCCGNCATTCAATATGATAAGGTTCTTTGACAACTTGTTGCATAATTTAAAATAAATATTTATTTTAGGGTTGCCAGCATTTAAAATACAGCGTTCTAGTTCGTAAAATGACGAAATCAACAAACAACAGATCAGTAACCCCGATCCGTCCAGTGGAAAGCTTTCAAGCTTAAAAATGCTGAAAGAGGAGGGTTAGTCTGACCAATTTGAATAGAATAGAGAATCCTGAGGCCAAATTTAAAGAATTTGAGCCGCGGCTCAAATTTAAACAGCGGCTCAAATATGGTTGGTTCCACTGAAAATCGTATTCATTGTTTCAAGATTTAAGCCGGCGCCCAATTGACATCGGTTTTTGGCGGATTTAAGACGCGGCTTAAATTCATTAAATTTGGACACTGTCTTCATTTTTGAGGAATCTGAATGAAATTTTGCATTTGGACATCAACAATCTCATTACTAACACCAGAACGAAGTTAAGGGTTTGTTCAAATTCCCACTTTAAAAGAAATATTTATGTGATTTCCTTACATCATTACGAAAATATTTGATTTTGTGATTTTGCTGCGTTCATTTATTTTCAAAATAAATTTTATCACTATTAAAACCTGTTTAAAAACATGTTCTATACAATTTTTTCACCCTCCCTTTACGTACTGGAGAATATGTAGTTTATTTTAAATTATTACATTAATTGGAAAAATTGGAGATATGCTAATGCTTTGAAACCGTTTGATTTTGATGTGGATTCAGATCCGGAATCTGTAATGGGCATTGGGCAGTGATAAGATTATTAATAAAAACTTAAATCACGATTTTGTTTCATTTCAGCTAAATTAAATATATAAATTAGATATTAAAGATGTTTTCCAATAAAGACGAATGGTTCTCACCTGTATAGACGGTCAGGTATCCACGCTGCTAGCTCCGGAATAAATATTAAAAGATGGGGTTTATGCATCTTTAATGTTCCATCTTGACAAACTTTATAACAGATATATCAGTATTAAATTTGCGTATTGTGCAGTATGTGTGAGGAGTATCAAAATAAGAACCCATATTTTTTCAAAATCATCTTTCATTTCCTGGATCAAACCGAAGTTTACCAAAAATTAAAACGTTGTATTTCTGCAATATGTTTTAACTAAAGCTTAACAAAATATTATTTAAACGAAATAATTTTACTCCTGTGGATAACAAACTTTGAACGGCTGAGCTAGCCTTAAAATCAACGTAGGATACTGATTGCTGACGTTATGCATGCAATATAAAATATAATGCAGGGTTTATTTTGATCATATACGCGAAAATCACATTTCAAAATGGAGGTCAATGAACCCATCACTGTCAGATGCAAAATGATTTCTTGTAGATAATAAGTGTCAGATTAGACAAAATACTTAAAATATATTTAGAAAGTGAAAAAAAAACGATTTAAAAACTATATTTGGAGACCCGAGACGTTCTAGAATATGGTTCAGACTTCTTATAAATTCTTGGATTGGGGGAATCTCTTTATAATTATCAAGGGTTCTTTTCCCATATTAGAGAAGGATTATAAAAAAGATAATCTGCCTAGTTTAACATCAGTCTGATAACCAGCCTCGGTCTGATGGAACAAACTGGTTTTCAAATCATCACCGGTAAATATTCTCAACGTTGATATCTCCGGCGACTCCATTTTGGATTTAAAAAATTTCTGAAAAATTCACTTTAACACACTTGATACCAGAAAACAATGATCTATTTAAAAAATGTCATATTTAAAAAACAAGGAAAATATCAAAAAACTATTTTATTCTGAAGAAAAAATACAAATAAAAATGAAAAAATGCACTGAATCTGTTTATTTACAGTTTGAAGTTGATTGCAATGCTTTAAAAGAAAAGAATGAAAACATCATGATTATTAATTTAGNGGGGGACAGTCGCTGGCAGTTTGAGGTTGCATGAAACACATCTAAGGTTTCCATATTCTGAGTAAACCATCCTCTGAGTATGTAGCCAGCAGGTTCTGGTGAGGGTGATGGGTCAACCCAATAACATCCTTCTCATGCACCTACAGATAGATAGATAGAGTATAACTAAAAGATATATAAAAATAATTTATACAGATAGAATTAGACATGTACTGCGAGAAGACCGTACAATTGTTCGGAAACGATCAATTCTTCCTTCCTACATTATGTGCTTTTACAACTGACAATTTGTTTCTTAGTCAAATCACTAGCTATTTGAAGACTTAATTCAAAGCAAAAAACCAAATTAAAAATTTAGGTCCTCATTATGGATACATTTATAACGTATTTGATAACTCTCATTTTCTTAACTTTACCTTGAAAACCATGAAACATACTCTGAAACTCATAATGGTGAACACAAGCAAATTTTCTTCACTACAGAATTCAGGGAGGGAGGTCAATAATTGCATGCTTCATCCCAAATAAAATCATGGCTTTTTAAATAAGGATTCTCACAAATCTAAGTTTTAAAAGTAAAAAGATTCAAGACCATCAACTAAAAGTGGTTTAAATTATATCAGCATATCAAAAAGATTTACTAAAAATTTAGGAACACCAAAAGCGTACATTTAAAATTAATATCTATTTTTAGAATCTCTCTCCACATCATGTGAGCAATCCCGACATGATTTTAAAGAATGTGCTCGGGAGAGGATGAAAAAAAAATTGTCCAGAAACGTGTTATAGCCTTACATCAAATAACACTTTCAGTGGTTATATAAAAATATTTTTTACAAATTGGGCTTTAAAATTGCGACTCATTTTTTTTCCTTGTAATTAATTTTCACAGCGTAAAGTTGCTATTTAAGCGAATAGAATTATTCTCAATAAAAAAGTCTCCATTAACAAAAAACTTACGTTGAGTGTTCTTTCTAATTTTCCAGTTACAGATGAGAAGCAGTATAGTATATAATCCTCACCCACACAATAGATCCATTCTCCCCTAGATAGATATTAAACATAGGTGGATAGATGGATAGATAGATAGATAGATAGATAGATAGATAGATAGATAGATAGATAGATAGATGGATATATAGATATATGGATACATTTTATTAACATTTGTTTGCAATTTGCGAAGTTCTTAGCAACAAGACCAAATTTGAGCCATGCCTCACTTCATGGACATCGTCATACAAAATTTACCTTGTGTCTGGGCAAAGATTGGATGACGGAAACCTCCCTAGTGAGTATTTCCTTTTTTATATGTATTAAAATTTAAGTTGGTTAAAACTAGTTTTAACATTGAATGTATATTGTATTGAAAGGTTTAATCTAGTCATGGCTAAACCAATAAAGTTGTTGTTGTTGTTGTTGTTGTAGCAGCCCATCATATACTGATTCATCTTCTTGGCCAGTCTTGAGTCCGAGATGGATGGCCACGTCAATAGGGTTGTCCCAGAGGGAGCTGGCAGTCATGGTAGTTGGCTTTGCTGGGCATGTGGTTTGTGGTATGAGGGCTCTGTCTACAGCCTAGACAGCTGTCCGAGTCGTATATATGAGGATTAATTCGATGTAGATAACTTTTTAGATGTGAAGAATATCCTGGGTTAGGGTATTGTTTGGCAATGGTGTTGTAGACCTCTTGGGTATGAATAGTTTTAGGCCATATTTATAAATAGCAGGGCTGATGTCAATATCTGGTGGGCCTAGGACTTTAACGGTGTCGGCAAACTTGCTCGTTGGAGTTTAGTTATTTTGTTTAGACTCATAATTTTTTTCATACATATATATAATCGCGAAATAACACAGGGCAGAGTAGTGAGATTGGTCTGTCAAGTCTATTCAAGAATCTTCAAGAACATACCTGAATTAGATTCACATTACACAACAAACCTTTGTCTGAGTAAAAATTTAATTTGAGCTCTCCACGTTTTTCTTTTTCATTTTTAATTGCAGATCTCTGTGACAGTTAAGACAGTTTTTATCTTTACACGATACAAATGACGATATCGTTCGCATTGTTAATCCGATTAAGGACTAAGGGGAGCCGTTGTGAATGTAACGCATTAGATTTATGGTTGTCAGTACATTAAAGAACTCACCTAGGAGAGAGAGTGCAGCAAATAAAATCTCCTCCCTCCCTTTTACCAGATGTAAATGATCTCACAATCTGACCCTGAACAGTTGTAAATTTAAGAGAATAACTGTAACAAAGCATTAAATAATAAGAAGGAACACATAAAAAAGTTACAAAAGATTATTATTTCTAAATGTCGAATATAAAAAATCGAAAACGGCACTGATTCGTCCGAATAATTGAGTACGAGCTGACCCGGTTGCAAGGGTTGACCTACCTGCATGTTCATAATGACGACAGTGTTTGTTCTGTTACAGACGACCATCTGATCCTGGTTTCTTGGTAGAGGATGAACACTGTTAATATGAACATCTCCGCCGGTAGCGCCACCTTCATAGTAAATATAGTAATTTTATTTTATTAGTAAAATAAATACAAATTTAACATTTGATGAGAGCTTGACCTTGATTGGTAAAACCTTCTATTTTAATCTCAAGGAATAATAATTGTCTAAAAACATTTTTTTAGAAAGTGAATATTTGCAAATTATCTTTTTCCCATCTCATAATCTGAGTTAGTTTCCCTTATGTCCATTTGACAGCCCAAATTTTTATTTTGAATAATCTTTTTTGTTTGTTTATTTTCTTGTGATTTAAAATTTTTTTTTTTTATCGATTTTTATGGTTATTATATCGTTAGAACTGACGAGGGTCAACCCAGACCGAAATATATTTTCAATAAATGTGGAACTAACATCTACTTTATTACTCTACAGAGGTTTGGTCCATCACCATCACCGAATTTTAAATTTATTCTATTAATGTGGCCATAATGCAGGGTGTATCTTAGTTATGTAATTCATATTTTTACCCTCCTCTTTTAAAAAAAATATTCCCACCCAGAAGTCAAAAGCAAAAACCATAGTTTTTTTTAACAAAGTGACGCAGCCCAGTAATAGTCAGGTTCCCTCCGATTTTCTTAAAATTCTTAAAGCAACTCTCAAGCGTTTCTGTTTCTGTTTTTCATGACATTTTTGGAGTTTTATTTGAGATGAGACAAAGGAAAAAAATATGTGTTATAGGGAAAATATGATGTTTCCCCACAAAAAGGTAGTTTCCTGTGTGAACCAGAACTAGCATTTAAAAACAAATTTTTTCCTCTTTCCTCTTCCCCTTTTATCCCTTTTCCATTCATGAAGAGGTTTTACAAAGTTTCCTTATGAGACCAAAAAATCTTTGTATTTTTTTCTTCCCTCTTCTCCATTGACATTTGTCAAACAATGTTTACCTAAAGATTTGAAGGTATTACAATGTTTACCTAAAGATTTGAAGGTATTGACGCACTCTGTAGACTTGATGTTCCAAACCTTGACAGTACCATCAGATGACGCACTGAAAAGAAGAAGACGCCATAAATTGAAGTTACTTGACGCTAGTTTCCTGTTTACCTTGGATGCGTAATTTGCGAAAACAATTTCTCAAATACCTGATTAGCTGGTGACCGTCAGGGGAGAACGTGACGCAGTTGACGTAGGATGTGTGACCTCGAAATTCCTGAAAAAAATATAACATTGTGTCAACAGAGTAGTAAAGTTTTTATATTAGGTATTTTCAAAGACACAGATGGATTACATCCGGCCCCAACTAGCTCGGCCCAGCCCTAATCCAAAACAATTAGAAATTTAATTTTTTTTACCTTCAATGTTTTCCCTGACTTGAGACCATGAATATGAATTGTCATATCAAAACTAGCAGATACCAGCTAAATAAGAATTCAATTAATAACCAATCAATGAATCAACCAATCAATGAATCAACCAATCAATCAACCAATTAATCAATGAGTTATTCAAACATTTGTTCACAGAAAAAGTGCCCAGTAAATCTGGAGAAGTTTTTGAGAGGTATTTAAACAAAGTCATTAGAAGCAGCACTAACTTTGTTATTTCTCCCACAAACTCCAGAACACTTTTTTATTATCAAAGTTGTTTGATATTGGGGATTCCTTCTAAGTAATATACATTGAATACTACACAGCAACCTATCAATCAACTTGCTGACAAAATAACAACCAGGGGTTCCCCCCTACCCCCTCTTCAAAATAACCACCCCTGGATAATTATCAAAAAAGCTAAACCTTCATGCTACATTATTAATTCAATTGATAAAATTCAGTGTTTAATATTTTGGCTTCCTGGATCCGTATCCGCAATAATATGCAGATCCACAGATAAGAGATCATTAAAACATCCTAATCTCTGAATGATTCAACAAGTTTTAGCATAAAAATAAGCTGAAAAGGAGGGAATTTATTTAAAAATTTCTTTATTTGTTCAAAAATAAGTAAATGGAGTAATGTTCATGGTCTGAATCCGGATTTTTTCATTTTTTCAGGACGGATCCAGGATCCGTATCTGTATCAAAATAAAATCCTATTCTAAGCGCTGTTAAATATATCAACCAATCAATAACCTGTGAGTTGTCCTTGCTGAACTGTACGCTAGTTATTCCTTTGCTGTGCGCTTTCTCAAACTTTCTAAAGATATAACAAATGAAGAATCACTTTATCACAAAACAAAATCAATACAAAAATAATAAATTTTTATGAAATAAATATCAAAATATTTACATTTTTTTCAGATTTATAAAAAGTAAATAATTTATTCATGAATTTCAAATCAAATCAAATCAAATCAAATCATACTTTGAATGTTTTAAGGCTCCTTAATGAGGGCTTACCACAAATATTTGAACTAAAGAGTTTTAGAAGGAGATAATTAAGTTCCTCCAAATACAGAGGCTGTGGGAATATTTCCCCCCGATAAAAAAAATAAATGGTTGAGAGGTTAATTTCATACAATTCTCATACTTTAAAATTGGAATCTTGGATTTTAAAACTGTCTAGAATTTTTCTACCTAAGCATCTGTCCGGTGCTAATCCTCCAAACCGTTAGCTGTCCACCCTCACTTCCTATATTCAATCAGATAATCAATACATAAATCAATAAATCAATCAATATAAAGTATTCGAATTTACCTTGACACTTTTCATCCATCTTTATTCATTAATAACAAAAAATAGATCAAGAAATTTTCTTCAATTATTGAAAGTAATAAATAAATAAATCACCCGAAGCCAGCATCTCGCTGTCTCTGCTAAAACCCAAGGCAAGGACGGCATCCTCCATGAGCATAAAGTTATCGTTGGCCTGGTACTTTAAGTCCTTACGCATTTTACCAGTTGTAAAGTTCCAAACCTACAATATAAAAATAGTGTTGTGAGGGTTAAGGAACTATAATAATAAACTATAATACTAAAAAATGTCGGTCCCTTAGGAAACTTAACTCAATATGGGAATATAGTTGAATATGGGAACCTATATCAATATGTGAACCTGGCTGAATATGGGAACCTAGTTCATTATGGGAACTTATCCCCAATATGGGAATTCAATATAAAAAAAACCTACTTCAATAAGGGAACCTATCTCAATATGAAAACCTAACTCATATGGGAATCTAGCTGAATATGGGAACCTAGCTGAATGTGGAAACCTACCTAATATGGGAACCTACCTCAATATGAGAACCTAGTTCAATGTGGGTCCTACCTCAATATGAAAACCTAACTTGATATGAAAACCTACCTCAATATGAGAACCTACCTCAATAAATCCATCGACAGACCCAGAGATCAGATATTGACCGTCAGGACTGAATGCTGCGGACTCAATGTGAGATTTACTTCCAAACTTTATCTAAACATGAAATCACTTTTTCATTATCTTTTCAAATTCATATTCCTAGCTATCTAAACATAAAATCACTTTTTAATTATCTTTTCAAAATCAAATTCCTAGCTAAGTATTACTGAACCAAATTTTAATCATCAAAATACCAATCAATCTAAAAATCATGCTATCAAATTATATCTATTTATGCAACTGTCTTGTGTTGTAATACAGGACAATATATTTTTGCCGGGATTTATACTTAATTTAGTTTGTTTGAGGCTAAAATTCAAGCCATTAAATTCCTCACTACGTTCGGGATTTAAAGACTTGAATTTTAACCGATTTAAACCTCAAACAAACTAAATTAAGTAAAATCCCGGCAAAAATATAATTTACCAAATTATACACAAAGCAGTTGCTTTTTATAATTATATTCCATTTTAATCCGAAAAAAAACCGAAAGAAACTCTAAAATTCGCAAAATTTAGTAAAAAAAAAAATCCAATCTTCTGAGACATTTTTCTCATAATGTCCCAGGACAATTGTAAAAAATAATATCCCAGAATATTTTCATATTACAGGAAAATACACGGGATATTAATTCTCTCAAAATGGAATAAACTGTTAAATCTACTACAGGGAGTTAATCTATTAAAACTTTCCAAGGGGGCTAAGCCACCACAGCCCCCCCCCTCTCTCTGTATTCTACCTGTTTAGAGAGCTGTGTTGGATACTTCTCATCCTCCTGTTCCCTCATGGCGGCCTTACCACGGAACAAATCAATCTAAAAACAAATTCAAAATATCTCGACAGGAAAACTTATGTTTAAAAACAGTACCATTAACAGGAGTGATAATTAATACCATCTTTCTTTCTTTTATTATCTTTACCATATAAAGTATACTTTGTTAATTCTTAAAAAGTAAAAAATGAACTAATTGGGAGCTTGGTGGGTTAAGGATGATACCCACGCGATTAATTGAGGTTCCGTCAAACCTTCCATCCGGGTCATTATCGTTTAATTAATAAATGAATGAATTAACTGTGTATCGTGAATTGCCTTAAGATGGTTCGTTTTTTTTGCTCGTTTTTTTGCCTAAATTTCTTTCAGGGGCAAAATCTGGCGCAAAGTGTAAAAACTGCAAATGTTTTTAAAAATTTTTATTCTATTCATTTGTTTTTCTTTCAGTATGTCAAATTTGGGCCCAGATAGAATATATGACAAAAACCAACCCCAAAACGATGCAAAAAAAAACCGAACGTGTTGTATCGATCGTTTTTCTTTTTTAGGATAAAGATGTTGCAAAGTTTAATAACAGCAAACTTTAGCAGAACAGTTTTGAAATCTCGGAAGGTTTATTAAATTCTTTTAAAAACTATTGAAACAATTAACAACACCAACTGTGTACGGGGGGTAGATCCCCCCCTCTCATGTAATGTCTTATTGTTTAATTAATAAATCAATAAATAAATTACCTGTGTACCGGGGGGAAGAAGACCCTGGTGTTGTTGCCACTTGAGAGCTTGGCCCAGCAGGGCGAGAAGACGACTAGGTGGGACAACACTCACCTAAACAACATTATTCTTCGTCGTAGACGTATTATTCTCTTAAAATCTTAATCAAAAAAACTATTTTACTCAAATCTTTAAAACCATCAAAATTGTCGGAAACAAAAAATTCTTTTGTCCTAAAAAGTATAAAACTTTTGAAAATGAAGGATTTTTGGAAAAAAATATAATAAAAGAGTAAAATATAGCATAGTTATTATTTAAGTACAATTTAAATTTAAATTTAAAAAATATTGAATATTGCTTGGGAAGGAGTTTTATACCTCTCCAGCGAGTGATTGAGCAATAGCCGCTCTCCTCTTCTCTTTACTTCCTCCCTCAGGATACGCCTCGCGAGGGTCAAAATAGGAACGAGCCAATAGATTCTCTACAAAATAATGAAGACATAAGAACCAAAAAAATGTAACAAATGAAAGAAATAAAAAAAACATTGTTTTAAACAAGGATATTTAAATTTTTTTCTGTGAATCAATAAAGCTAAAAAAAAAGAAAAAATGTCCCTCCTCCCCTCCTCAAATTATAAAACTGACCTAAATGCAGATATCTCTCCGGTTCACTCTGCTTCATAACAATCATCGGATCTGTTTGACGGAGCAGTGATCTTGCAGCTCCTAGCTCACGTAGCTCAATCAGCTCAATAACAACCTATAATAGCGAGTGCAGATGAGAAAAGGAAAACTTAAATTTATGGCAAAGCTGGGTAACCAAGCTCAATTAACTCAATAACAAGATAGGTTAAAGTTCTACAGACGAATCAGACATACATTAGCGTGATAGGATTCTCTCGAAATCATTCATAAAATATCAGCTTTCCTAAATTAACTAGAGCAGCTGTTAAGAATCAACAAGCTTCTTGTCAGGAAGCTTCAAGATTAATAGCAGCTGTATTGGTATACTACCTATTCATATAGATCAATAAGCTTCCTATTAGGAAGCTTCAAGGTTTAGCGCAGTTGTATTGGTATACTACCTATTCATATAGATCAATAAGCTTTCTATCAGGAAGCTTTATGGTTTAGCGCAGCTGTATTGGTATACTACCTATTCATATAGATCAATAAGCTTCCTGTCAGGAAGCTTCAAGGTGTAGAGCAGCTGTATTGGTATACTACCTATTCATTTAGATCAATAAGCTTCTTATAAGGAAGCTTCAAGGTTTAGCGCCGTTGTATTGGTTTACTTCCTGTTCATATAGATCAATAAGCTTCCTATCAGGAAGCTTTATGGTTTAACGCAGCTGTATTGGTATTCTACCTATTCATATAGATCAATAAGCTTCTTGTCAGGAAGCTTCAAGGTTTAGAGCAGCTGTATTGGTATACTAACTGTTCATATAGATCAATAAGCTTCCTATAAGGAAGCTTCAAGGTTTAGAGCAGCTGTATTGGTATACTACCTGTTCATATAGATCAATAAGCTTCTTATCAAGAAGCTTTATGGTTTAGAGCAGCTGTATTGGTATACTACCTGTTCATATAGATCAATAAGCTTCTTATCAGGAAGCTTTATGGTTTAGAGCAGCTGTATTGGTATACTACCTGTTCATATAGATCAATAAGCTTCTTATCAAGAAGCTTTATGGTTTAGAGCAGCTGTATTGGTATACT